TAAAATACAATAATTAATGTATAAAAAATTTATTAATAAATTTAGTATATTTAGCAATTCATTTCGGTATAACACAGCATGCGCAAACAGGGCCGGCGTTACGATTTGCGAGACCCTGGATAAATTTATATTTTTGGAAGACTTTTCTTTTAGCGTACCATTCCTCTCACCTAATAATTGTAATAATATCCAACATTTGGCCACGGCCGGAAATACTATTTTTTAACTGTTAAGACAGCGTGCGTGTACGTGTACGTGTTTTTCCCGATATCATTGTTACATTTCTATAAAAAATATTTTTCCAATTTTACGCCCATTATAATTATGCTACCTTTTTTTATGGACGCGAGGCCTCTGAAAGCGCGAGGCCCTGGACGTAAGCCCCGCTTTTCCTATCCTAACGTTGACTCTGGGTACAAAATAGTTTTGTCAAACTCCAAATGATGGTTTGAACTTTTACAAACGAGATGAGGATAAATAACTAATGTCAGTAGGAGTCCGAAATTGTATTATTTGTCTATTTATCATGTAGTTTTTCCCCTGCTTTATACTCGGATGTTATTACAATACTATAAGTTTACATTATTATTAAATATAACTAAACAAATTGAATAAATATTAGGAATATTTTAATTACACAAATTATTACCTATTTATTATTAATTTTGTTGCGATCGAATTCGGGAATTTTTATTTGGACTTCAATATAATTCATGACAAATGAAAAAGTATATTCATTGGAAAACGGTTAAAGTTAGATTTTCAGAAGTTGATCGCAGTAAAAGGTGATGCGTGCACATTATTAATTGGGGCGTTAAAAATTGTGGATGGCGATTTTTAACGTTTCAAAGCATGAACACTTTTTTAACTTTTTACTATAAGAATCAATTCACCTTATGCGAAGATATTTTGTTTAGAATTCATTGTATTTCTAGATAAAGAAACTGGAATACGTCAACTCCATTATCTGGTATACAAGAAGTATACGATGTGACTGTTGTATAGAAGTTATACTGCAATTGAATCTGTAGTTCGGTATTATAAGCAACGATTATAGATATGTCTATCCATTGTGTACTCAATTAATTGATGGCACGATATTTGTTTATTAAACTATGTAAGTTGTCATCACGGTTGATAGTAAAACACCAATTTTGTTAATATAAAATACGATTTAATTTTAACTACACAAATAATGGTGCAATATTTCAGCAAGCCAATTTGGACAATACTAAAAGTAAGAGGTACATGCGCACTCCCTATTCTCCAAATGATATCCCTGGAAAAAACTACATGATAAGTAAAAAAAAAAAAAAAAATGAAATTTCGGACTTTTACCAACACTAGTTGTTTTAAGATTTTCCAAATTTTGTTTGTAAAAGCGCGAAATACAAAAATTATTTGGGGCTTGACCATACTACTTTGTATATCAAAAGTTTTACCGAAATCAATTGGTAAATGCTTGAAATTTATATAAAAAAAAAAAAAAAAGGTCGGGTTTTATCGTTCTTTCCGATTATCCCATGGGATAGTTTACGAATAGATACTCTTTAAAATGGTAAAATGTATGTCATTCATAGTTTATTTGAAGTAATTAAATAAACACGTTTATTTAATTGAATGTGGTTAAGTATTAAGTAGATACGAAATAATTTAGTTATTTTTACTTACTTTTCTTATTAAATGCAAAAGTGAAAATATCTTGTACGGTTCTTTCTATATAATATCATCATATGATTTATTAGATTCTTAGTGGAACAAAAATGTATTATTGGTTTTAAAATGATGTGTGCTTTTTTTCTGTCAGTACATAAGATTTTGACCAGAAGACTCATCTCTAATCAAAAATTTACAACAGGTTTCTGGTAGAAATTTGGATTTGAATTCTACGTTAAGTAGGTTGGTTTTTTTTCGGTATTCTTCTTAGTAATAGGGGGAAAAAAATAGGTGAACAAATTATTTATCTAACAATTTTTTTTTTCAAAATTGTATGAAATAATCATTTAACATTTTCGCCGAGCAGTTTATTTCGGGATTTTCTTAATGCATGCAATGGTCACTAGGCATAGTATAATTTCTAAAATATGTTGGCTTTTTTACATATTATTGTTTGTCGTATATTACACATTTTAAACTATAATAAACTACAGCAAGGCCAGCGAAAAGTAAGCAGCGCCCGTCACGTGCTTATAATAGTAGATTTTTTTCTATTTTCAGAGGTTCTATGTCTTGGGAGAATTTGGAATAGCTGGCGATCAAGTGCCAATAAAACTAGCCTAATTTTAATTTTTTAATTTTATATATTATACAATTTATAGAGAATAATATTTTGGAAGGAATATCATGGGTGTTTTTTAATTATGAACTGTTAAAAAATGTACAGTTATTTAAAAAAAAAATATATAAAGGTACATTTCAAAATAAGTACTTTTACTCTAAAATCAAAATTACGCTAGTTTTACTTATTCTGCGTAAACATTGTTTTTATATGTTACCCGGTAGTTGGACTGAGACAGTAGATGCGGGTATAACAGCCTCTTAATACCTACAAATGTGTTGCTGTAAAAATAATAGAGTTAATATCTAGCAAAGTCAGAAATATTTTTTTACGAGTCAATGTGGAAAAAATGTGAAGGGAGGAGCATTGTAATATTTGTAGCCCGAGGGTGCCAAAACACTAAATATAGCCCTGTCTCTACTCATATACGAGTACATTAGGCGAAGTAAAATAGAAATAAAAAAGACGTCATAGGATAATGGTAATGGGTTATAGGCAATTTAATGTATACCTGTAAGCAACGATATACCATTGCTTACGAAAAAATGATTCTAAGCGGAGTTCAGTTGATAGTGATGCTTTGTCGACAATATATATGCCATATTATAGTAAAATAATTAAATGGGTTCCGCATATTTTTTAAATGTTTTACCGATTTTCTTGGTTTTCCTCGGTTTTTCACATTTGCTGAGAAAATCAAAAACTGACCTCTATAAAATACCTCTCTAAACCGATTTTCTTTCAGGAAAGATGCTACACGTAAAAATCGGAGCAAGTCCTCTGGTAGAAAAGTTTTCAGATAAAAAAAAAGCCATCTTTGTAAAACCTTAAACCATAAGCTTCTTCACTCCACTCAGGATCTAAAACTATACGTAGTACTAAAGAACTAACTTGTTTACCTCATCTACCACATGTAATTCATCCATTTTTCCTTATTTTACTTTTACATTTTTCCAAATACTAGTTACACTTTCCGTCACGACAGTGACCCGTGAAATTTCATTTTCTACGTTAAAAATTCTTCAACTATACTTACCTTAGAAACACTAATAGAGAAACCAGATTAAAAAGTTGTTAAACATTAATCGTGAAATAATTATAAAAACGGATTAAGTTTTAAATTAATTTGCTAAACATTCTAGGAGAATAATAATCTTTATCGATAGAATTTAGAATTTAGATGCGAATGGAAAAAAAATATTCAAAATAGGAAGTATCGCTAATTGGTGGCTATTTCCTTCAAAAGTTTCACATGTTACTCCTCTCTAGCACATTTGCTTATTATTCTAAGTACGAATAGATTGTAAATACCTTATACAAAAAAAAGATGCAAATTCGTAAATATTATTAGCCATTAAAAAAATATATTGAAATAAATGTAAAAAAAAAAGATTCAAAAAATTAAGGAATTATTTTCTTTAACAAATTATTCGGTTAATCAAATGTTTATTATTTAATTAGGCTAGGCTTATTAGCGTACTACGATTACACGTTTAGTAAAATTGGTAAGGTATTTACTTCGTAGTGCTCATATTACACGATTATTACACATATTACACAATTGTTTGTTTACATTAGAATTTTTTGATCTATTATTAAATATTTTTTTTCATCATAGCAAAATAATGTTATAGCTATAAAATCCTTTCATCCATTGGAAAACAGTATAACTTAAGAACAATTTGGATTAGGGAAAAAAGAAATCAATATTTTATTTTAAACATTGAGTTTTTTATTTTTGTATTTAATTGTTAACGAACGATTGTTATTATTATTAAAATTTATGTAATTGGGCCTGGCCCGTTTAAAACTTAAAATAAATAAATAAATATTTAGCGGGGAGAGAGATTAATGTAATTTTATGATAGCCTGCTCTGGGAATCAATTTGTCTCAAATAGTTGTTGCGCAAATTATAAAAATAGTACTGTTAATTCATACAAATTGCGTGTTTGATTTTTTTTTAAATTTATAATGGGGCGGGGAGAGCAAACGTACGTCAATGAACCTATAATGAAAATATGTATACATATTATGTATCGAAAATCACCAGAATATTTTAAGAAATATTACCACGTCTAGGATGTCTAGATCTTTATGTGTTTTAAACTGAATAACACCAAACAAAAAAATCAAATTAACAGAAACCGTTAATGCGTACATTTTTCAGGTTTTGCGACGTTTTATCCTGATTTTTCCCAATTACTAAGATAATTACAAGAAAAACTAAAGATTACATTTTAAATGCACCAAATTATTTTTTACCAAAATTTGCTACCAGAATCCACTATTTGAATTGATACAAAAAAAAAAAAAAAATTATGATCCATAGTCGAACTAATACGTTCAGAATTTAAAGTAATTTTTTGGTTGTATTCTATCAATATTAAGTAGATAATAATTACTTACGACTGAATCCATATTTTTTTTTCAATTGATCTGTTATTAAATAATGCAAATACAATTTATAATAATATTTTTGGAGGTTAATATTCAAATAATAATAATAATAAATAATTATTAATTTTTGTTATAAATAACTAGTTAGAAAACATAAAAATTAGATTATCTTATGCTGTTGATTTTAGATTCTGAGCAAAACAAGCAATACTATTACTGTATACTTGTATATCAAATGTTCTAATACTGTATTGCTGTAAAACTGTGAAAGTATTCGAAATTCACCAAGAAATCCAACCACTGGATGTAGGATTTTCCCACCTTATGAAGGTTACTTGGCGTAAAATTTTATCTGACTGGAAAAGTAGTGCTGAAGGATTAAAAAATCCTGTTTTACAAAAACAAACTTTCCCTTCTCTTCTAAAAATGTTACTAAATCTTTTACAGCCAACAATAGCAACATCTTTACAAATGGATTTCGTACATGTGGAATATACTCTGTTATTTAAATTACAAGTTATTGGAAAGATTGCCAAATACTGGCAATCATACCAACTCCCCAAATCGTATAAAGATATTTTTTAATAAAATTTATTTAACATGAAAATTAAAGGTATTTTCGATATTGGTGAAAAGTATCCCAATGGTATAATAATTTTGCACCATTTTAAAAAGATAATTGAAAATGGTGTTACTTCTCGGCAACAATCGATAAAAAAGGTTATAATCAGATATTTATCTATGTTAGTTAGTGTATATTAGCTTTAATGATAACCAAGTATGATAATATATTACGTAATTTACTTTTAAACCGATAGATAACATATGAATGTGACAATATTCTGGGTTTTATTTCAATAAATTTAAATCATAAAATTTGTCTATGGAAAACAATAAAAATATATCCGTGTTCATATATATCTAAACTTTAGATAATTTCTAAGGTTATACAGATAAGTTAAATATTTTATTTGTAAATCAATAATGCACGGTTGTTGCTCATACGCAACATTTAGCACTACACGGGACATTTTTTTCGACGTTTTTCAGTGCCGTATTTTTGCGTGTTCTATTTTTTTACTTTTTGCATCACATATTCGTACATTTTTTCATTATGTGTAGAAGATATTTGTTTGATAGAGAAATTGTACAATTGCTGGAAAATGAACCTCCATCCGATTCTGAAGACGACTTGGAATCTGGCGACAGGTCTCCAAACTTAGGAAATCAAATTATTCAAGAAACGATGAGTGTCAACCAATTTGAACAAATTCGACAGTTCATACACTTCAATAATAATAATAATATGTTAGTTAAAGGCCACGTGGGCCATGACAGATTACATAAAATTAGGCCAGTTACGGAGACTTTAAAAAAACGATTTGCTTCTATACCTTTAGAAGAAGCTTTATCTATAGATGAACAATTATGCTCAACTAAAGCTCGTAATTTTCTCAAGTAATATCTACCAATGAAACCCCATAAGTGGGGATATACATTTTTTGTATTTTGCGGTGTATCTGGTTTTTCCTACAATTTTGAAATGTATAGTAACCAGGAAAACAATGACGTTAACAGGTATTCATGGGAACCAGATTTTGGCGCTTCGGGAAATGAAGTCGTTCGACTATGTAGAATAATTCCAAAAAATATGAATTATAAAGTTTATTTCGATAACTACTACACATCTGTAGTAGATTAAGTTAGATTCATACAGACCATTGATGGTGTATATGAAAAACCGTCAAATATGTTCTTTGAAAACGGTACGCAGAAATCGCCTGAATAATGTCTTATTACCTAATGAAAAGGATTTTATTTAAAAATAACCGAGGTTTGTAAGATTATTGTTTGGCAGACATTAATAATCAAGAAGTTTTTGCCACATGCTGGCGTGATAACAAGGAGGTAACTTTACTATCTACATTTGTGGAAATCGATCCGTTGTCTAAGGTAAAAAGATTTTCAAAAACGGAAAATAAATCCATTTTAATAAACTGTCCACATATTGTAAGTGTACATAATAAACATATGAGAGAAGTAGACCTATTGGATAGCTTGTTAGGACGGTAGAAAATTAAAATAAGAAGTAAATGGTATTTAAGAATTTTCTATCATTTACTTGACGTGACTGCTGTCAATTCATAGCTGTTACATAAGCGAATAATTTCTCAAAAAAATAAAACTAGGGGCAACGTTGAAATACCTTTGACATAAGCTGCATTTAAAGAAGATTCGGCCATATCTCTGTGCAAAGTTGGTCAGTTAACTTCCACTAGAGGAAGACCGTCAAATATCATAAAGAATGCACTAATCCAAAAATTTAAGAAACGGAATGCTTCGAAACCACCAAATCAAGATCTACGCATGGATCGCATTGATCACTGGCCGATCGATGCACTAACGAGGAGTCGTTTTAAAATACCAGGTTGCAACGGATATACATGGCAAGCGTGTAAAAAATATCAAGTTAGATTATGTGTTGGAAAGGGAAAAACTTACTTTAAAAAATACCATACTACCTAATAATATTGCGTAATTTAACTATGTAATAATTAAAATGTGTATAATTTGACTAATTTTAGGTATCTATAAATTATGATATGACAACATTTAAAAAAAATATGTAAAGTTGGATTATGTGTTTAAGTTGTTAAATATCGTGTGATTTATTTATGTAAAATTAAAATATGTATAAATTTGATAAATTTTAGGTATATCTATTATAATATGATAATATTTTAGAAAAATTAAAATATATTAATTTATTCTATTTTTCGTAGTTAAAAACGCATAATGTTGCTCTAAAACAACAACCGACTTTTTCAACATTTGAAACTAAAATAGATTTTTAAATTATTTTTTACGTATTCTATAGCTTTAGAACTATCCAAAAACAATTTTTTAATAATAAAAAAAAATCATGCGTGTAGGGTTAAGTTTTTAAATTTTAGTTGCGTAAAATCGTTCTTAATGTTCATACCTAGAAGACTGTGCAGTTTCTAAAATTCTATCATTATTATTGAAGTAACAGTGTACACTTAAATCTAAAAAAAACATGCAACTTGGTGCAAAGAAACCAACAATCATGGTATCATATTAATTGTCTTTGTTATAAATAGGTATATAAAATTAGATATAGACATTGTAACTAATTCGTCATTGTTCATGCATAAAACCCAAATCGTCGGATCCAGTAACTTCAACTAGTTGAACATAATGAATTCAAAAGTCAAAACTATATACACTTATATAACAGAAAATTTAAATGATTACAATAGTTACTATAAAAAAAAAATCAATACCTATCTAAATTAAACATAAAATAAATAAAATATAAGAATACTAACCTTTACAGGCGTCTGTAAAATTAGAAAATCAAACATTGTTATTATGATACGGGTGTGTATCAATAAGTCTAAAATAAGCAAATTAATTCTAGTGGATAATAATATAATTTAATATAATATATTATCGAGTTAACCTTTTAATAATATATATTATATTATCATAAGGTTAACTTGATAGAAAATGTATAATATACTGACATTAAGAGGTCCATTTCAGTGTCCCCCCCCCCACCACAGTCCGGATTTTGAATTTCTTTCAACGTCAATCGTTTGTGTTACGTTTGTGTCCGTTAGTCCTACGTTTGTGCTGGCCTTCGTTCCCGAGATTTCAGGGGGGGGGGGGTCACTGTTCGGCAAAACCGACTATTATATTATGGCATTCAAATAGTTGTATTATTGATAATTTTTTTAATATTTGACCTTACATAAATCAAAATAATATCAAATATATACATACACAATACCTACATAATATTATTATTAATGTCTTCTTAAAATACCCACTGCCTATAATAATAATACATTTAATTAGTTCCTCAATTCAATTATAATTAATTTATAAAGAGTTTATAATTCGTAGTGACCACAAAATTTATATTGGGCAATCGAACCAGAATACCGTGGTAATTTAGGTGTATGGTAAGTAAGTTGAAAATAATTTTATCGTGTATAATATTTTGTACTTTACAAATGTTTACATGACGTGTTGTTTTAGAGGGTATACGGCGTATGCCTGTACAAATATTAAACATACGCACGTATACGATCGTATACTTTGAAATTTTTTTTAAAAAAATGTGTGTGGGTACTAGGTTAGTTATATTTGTTTAAATTTTTAATGTTTTTTGTTGTTTTTTATAACAAGTTTTTTTTTTTTGTTATATTATGTAAAAAAATCTCGAGAACGAAGGCTTGCACAAACGTAGGACTAACGGCCATAAACGGCACAAACGATTGACGTCGAAAGAAATTCAAATTTTGGACTTGGGGGAGGGGACACTGAAATGGACGTGGCATTAAGTACGGGTATCTCGGTATCTCGTCTGCTGGGCCATAAGCTGGATTTAATGAAGGTGTAATCCAAAATCGTGTTTCACGAATACTTAGCTATGAGTGTTATTCCTTAAGTCTCATGAACGTGATTTTAAAACGCGTCATACGAATTATGATGTTGCGGAAGCATACGTCTAATGTAGTGTACTCTACAATAGGTAAATTTTAGAATCGACCTATTAATGACATAATGTATTCGATTAATATAAATTGTTCTAATCAGTTTATTTAATAAAATATTGAGCCATAAAACGTTAATTTCAGAACTGTTGTACTGTAATTAACATACGTCAGTTGACGAAAAAAATACTAGAAAAGTATTCAAATGTTGGAGGGTGACATTACGTGGTCACGACCGACATCTATAACTGCGTTATTTTTAGACCAGTTATTATGGATGATTTACACAATTTCCGATACTGCTCTGTGTATATAAATTATCAAATAATAAAATAAAAAAGTGTTATATGGAAACAAACCGATATTATAGGCATCATTAGGATATTTTTCAGCACAAAAATTGACCGGGAGTTTCCACTTATAGCTACATCCTGAACACACACAAAAAAAAAAAAAAAAACAAAATTTCTTTGTTTATATAATGTATCATTGAACAATAATATTATGGGAGATTAAATCTGTTTGCTGAGAGATTTTGAAAAAAAAGTTTTCTACTTATATGTTAGAGGTATAATATACCTACATACAAAGAAAAAAAAAAGAGGTGATAGGGGAAGGTTGCGACCACTGTTGTAAGCGAGTAGTGGAGTAGGTGAGATACATAAAGTTATTTAATTTATATCTGTAAACAGCTATTAATCATTGATAACGAAAAACGATTTGGAGCGAAGTTCGGTTATACATGTTTTGAAAGGCCTTAATATTTATGATTTATATCAAAATGTAATTTTAAAACTTATAAAAAAATAATTAAATATTTTATTAATGTATTTTATTAATTTGTGTATAAAAATGTATGTGTTTTGTCAGGAAAAATAGTTTGTTATAGTTTAGTTATAAAACAATAGGATATTCTTACATTTTTTAATTAAGAAATACCTCTAACAAATGCCTCGCGAAGATGTGCCATGAATAATTTTGGATAACCTATAATTATTAATTATTTATTATTTATTATGATTATTTTTTATTATTTATTAATTATTAGTATAATCATCTGAACTGTTGCTGGTTTGCTGTGGAACTGTAAATTCAGGGTGAACTTATATTATATGAAGTTAAGAATTTTCCATGTGTAGTACATGGAAATATGCAAATAATATCACTCTACTTAACCTTAGCAAATGCCACATACATTTAGCTGTACGGCAAAAGCCATTAAAAAATAAAGGCTATAAAGATACGGAAAATAATAGAGCTGCCTATGTATACCCTGCAATACCACAAATGGTGACCCTGATTTTGTCGATTTGCGTTAGTGCCTAAACTCAAAATGATATCACGAGGAGATTGATTTTTTAAATTTATAGTTATATCCAAATATTAATGTTTAATTAAATCAAATGTCGTAATTGTATTAAGAGTATATAATAAATAAAAGCATCGTTTTTTGATAATTGTGTTGAAAATAACATTCGATTTTTTGATTTAAAAAAACTATTTTTACACTATTATGATTATTATATTTATGTCAACGAAGATGATTAATGGCAAACTAGTAGGGAGGGACTTAATCAGTGGCGGTATTATAAATCCCTTAGTTATAGTTCTATAGTATAAGCGAATATTTTAAGAACGTATATTTTGTTATATTATAAGAGTAAGAGTGTAGTTAGTAGCTAGTTAGTAGTTGGATGGCTGGCTCGTGGCTCCAGGAATATTGTATCGATACGGCACCCGCCAAGGAGCCGTTTTATAGAATTGTTTTGTTATACTCTTTTTTAAAATTGAACCCTCCAAAAAAAACGACGTTCGAACAAAACAGCCTGTACAAGCACAACAATTGGTGGTGCACAGAGAGTAGTGGAGCTTCATTTGTGTGGCAGTACGGCGCGCGACGTCTTAATAATGCACCACCACTCTCCCCAACCCAAATTTAATAGTGGAATATCTAGTCAATGGATTGACGTAAATCAAAAATTTCAACACTAAAATTTATTTTAAATAACACTCCATTTATTTACGAAATTTTTAATATAGGTTGCCACTTGGAAATCAAAAGTAGGCACTAGTTTACTCCTAAAAATAAGGGTAACGAAAATTAACATCAATTTAAAATTTTAGAGCAGTCAATGTTTCTTTCGGCAGAAACGTACATTGGGAGAAAAACGAGAGATTTTTTTTCGCTCGGTCATTTCAAAGCACAATAATTGTATTATAGGTTGTTTGATGAGTGTTGATGACAAACATTTTGATGTAAATGTCCTAAAAACTTATATCAAATATTACAAAAACCGATAAATTGCATTACCTTCTAATGAATCATAAGCTATGAAGAAAAAAAATCATTTTAGTACAGGTGCAAATAGAAAATTGAAACATTAATCATGTTGAATATTAACAGTTGAAAAATATAACAACTAAGCTATAAATGTATCACAGCTTAAAAAGCTGAATTTATTAATATTTAGCCGTTATTTGAAATTAAATTTGTGGAGTATTTTTGTTGGAATTTTACTTACTCAAATTATCGAATGCATATTTAGCATATGAATCACCAGACGTACAGTCTAATTAAAAATTAGAACTTTAAAGTATTTCATTATATTCCTCCATTTATCAAAAAGAAAATTACTCGTTATTAAAGTATGTTTCCGCCTTTTTTGCGCGTAATGTAGCAACATTAGCATTTTTAAAAATATTTTCATTTTTTATCAAAATATATGTTTTAATTGAACTAAATTTCTCTTAATTTTAAGCGTTAGTTACTTAATGAAAAAATTAAACAAATTATTCATAAAAATCCAGACAGTTGTTTAAAATATTTTCAGAAACAAGAATGATGCTCTACCATTCTTCCTCTTATAATTCAAACATAAAAGTGGAATATTTCGTCAACAAGATGACGGAAATTAACAATTTCAACACCAAAATATATATAAACTAATATTCCATCTATTTATGGAATTTTTAATATGTTTTGTTGTTTGAAAATTTGATGTA